GGACCTAAGGCATGACCCGAAAGGGGGGGTAGCAAAGGGAGAGTGGAGAAGGTCCCTAGAGGAGAGTGTCCAGGAACTGAGGGGCCAGCAAATTAAAAGAAATGTGAATATAGGTATTCAAATCACTAAGACTGATGTTAAAGTAGTTCTGAGGACAGTGACAGGGCTGAAATCTTGAAGGATTGTAAGGGGATCTACAGATGACTACAGCAAGGAGAGGCAGCACACACGGTATAGGAAACACCTTCTACTGTGGGGGTGGCAGTGGTTGGCGGGGAAGGAGGGCCACGTGGGGCTGGTGAAGTTGGTAGGAGCCAAACAAGGGGTTTCACAAGCCTTGTTAAATATTTTGGCTTTTATTTTTATTTATTGAAATAAAACTTAATGGAATATTGGTTATTACTTGCAAAATCATGATCAGACCCCCTTGTAGTCAAATATATTCCCAGACACAAATTTCAATACCAGATTTAAACTAGTCTCTCTAAAATGAAGGACTGCTAGTGAGGTTCTCACTATGGCTTCTCCCAGACATTTTAAAGTTCTACAGTTAGTTGCTTCTGTCTAGATTGTTCTACTTTATTTTCTTCAGTGAGCTGACAATTAGTTTTAAGTCATAAGTCAAGTAAGATCAAAGAAGAACATTTAGTCTAATCTTTTGATTTATACTTGACCTGGCTATATTCACCTGATGACAACAAAAGGTAAAATTTTAGAGCTTCACTGATACGACTCTTATTTATATATTTTAAGACCCCACATCAGAAACCATCGTATTTGTAAAGTGTGGTTCAGATACTCATTGGCATACGAACCTTAGACATAAGCTCTGACATAAGCCTGAAGCAAGGCTTTTAAAGAAGATTCTAGTTAAAAGAAAAATTAGCAAGTTAAAATAATGTTAAGGAAACTTCAGGTTTAGAGTTATTAGAATAACATGAACATTCATAGCTTTAAGGTTTTTGTGGGTTTTTTTAATTAAAATAATTTTTAAAATATTTATTAAATATTTTATATATATATTAAATATTTATTAAATATTTAATAAATAATTTTAAAAATAATTAAAATAATAATGCTATTATTTGGGCTCATTTTAAATATATTTTCTACCCTTCGGCATCTCTTTCTTGCTAATTTCATAAGATGGAGCATCTGTGAAAATTAGAATTAAATGACTAAATATAAGTCTTCCTTTTGGATTAACCACTCAACATCTATCATTTTTCTGAATGGCTTATGATTTTTATAAGAACTATTTTTCACTAAAATTTGCCCACTATTATGAAGTTTCTAGAGATGATTTAAGCTCACTTTGATAGACAAGTATTCAAATACATGCTGACTGCTTCTAAAGTCTGGAAAGTGCTTTGAATGAATAGGCATGCATCCAATTTCCTTTTTTATCCTACTTTTCTCTTCGCATTGCTGAGAAATTTTAGATGCCTTCCTCCATCAAACAGTACTTGGTAACAAGAAGAACTTACCACACATTTGGGGTGACATCATCACTCTGGGACCTCCAAGGGTGGGTTTCATAAATGGCTTCTCCATTGACTTTTAGCCAGGTCCCCATCTGCCTCAATCGCTCCTCAAAAATTACAGAAATGGTGCCATCATGTGTGGGTCCAATATTCATCAAAAGATTTCCTCCACATGAAACTGTTTCTACAAGTTCCTAAAAAGTTAAGAACAAATAAAGTTCTTAGGTAGAAGAAACGATTCCATTGTGAATGTGTTAATGATAAGTTGTATTTGTGTGCTTCCACCTCATATGTAATCACCATCCAGAAGAACAAACACAGAAAATACAAACTATAAAAATGTAATTCCCACACAATTAAGAATATTACCTTAATGGTCACCAGACATTTTACTGTACCTTTACTAGTTCTTCGATTGTAAGATAGTCATTAATTCCAGCATCTCTCCTGTAGCCCCAGGAAAACTTGTCTATTGTCATGCAATTTTCCCATTTATGAGGCAAAAGATGTCCTGGGTTGTACCGATCACTGCAGGTATAATAGCCACCATGCTTACAGATGGTACCATATCCCCAACGGTCATTGGTCACAACTGTGTCCCGAACTGGGCTGAAATATAATTGTTTAAATAAAATATAAAATATTTTACATAAAAGGAAATGTCACTGGAAAGAGGTCTAACTGAAATCCACTTCTGAAAGATCATCATAGCATAATATAATGCAAAGCCCATGGTTTGGAAGTCAAATAGACGTGGGTTGGTTGCAATCCTGGCTCTGTCACTTTCTAAGCTCCCTACCCCAGTGTAAGGGACGTAACTCCTCTGAGGAATCAATTTTCTCAACTGCTATTAGAACAGAAATAATTTATATAAAACACCTAGCCCAGTAATCAACACATAGAGCACTTATAAGACTATCATACTATTATTTGAAGCTCCTTGTCCCACATATTATGAATGATAATCAGATTTGAATTTACACTCAAAATATTCTTCGCACCTATGACTGAATAATCTCATACATACATTCTAGTCTTCCTCCTACAGTTGTGTCTAAGGTTGAAAAATCTCCGGCAAGTGGACTGCTGCCATCATGGAATCTACAATGGCACGAAATAAACCCCACAACGTTATCATCAGAGCAGGTGTGAAGCTCCTGCCCCTCCCCACTTAGAAGAGACAGTTTGCTTTCCAAACTGAAGTGGATCATTCCCAGTCTTTCCCCCTGGAAGAAGTACCTGGAGAAACTGCTGCTTTAAGTAGAAAGAGCTCTCCAGAATGTTCTTATGCACACCCCAAGTGTGTCCAGGGAACACACACAGAACATTCCCGGACTTCAGAACACAATACCAAGGGATGCCTGGGTGGCTCAGTTGTTAAGGGTCTGCCTTCGACTCAGGTCATGATCCCAGGGTCTTGGGATCAGGTCCCACATCAGGCTCCTTGCTCATCGGGAAGCCTACTTCTCCTTATGCCTGCCACTCCCCCTGCTTGTGCTCTCTCTGACAAATAAATAAATAAAATCTTTAAAAAAAAAAAAAAAAAAGAACACAAGACTGAGTATTTTCTAGTTACAATATAAATTCGGTCCACATGGTTTAAGTCTCATAGAGGAGCTTGGTCAGAATTCTCTGTTCTAACGTGGCAGTCTGGAACGTGCTAGAAAGCAACATGTAAAGAACAGGAAGTGGCGTGAACGCTGATGAAGTAAAGGAGGAGGCAGACGAGGGTGGCAGCGACTGAGCAGCAAAGATTATCAAAGGGTCAAAAGATGAAAAGAAGGAATCAGAAGAATTCAAAAGCACATAATCACAAAGAGTGATGACCTGTTGTCTCAGAATAGGCGATGAGAAGGGAGACCCACAAAATTAATGTCTTCAAAGTTCTTGATTCTGTGGTGTTATCTTTTCTCAGTGATTCTAAATTATTCGGGATTTTAGTGATTTCAAAATCAGACTATTGAGTTAGAACTCTTGCTCATTGATTACTCTGAGTAAAAACTGATACATGTACTAGGCCTTATTGACAACGATTTCCACCTACACCACACCATAGATGGGCCTGACAGGGAAAACTTCACAAAGCAAACTCTATACACAAATGAGGAACACTGAGGGTCATGACCGCAATCGAAGCGCCCCCACACCTTCTGTTATACAGCCAGGCCAGGAAACCTGTGCTATTCCAGTAGTGGTCAGGAGCATCGCCATCACCATCCGACCACAGGATCTCCGGCTGGTACTTGTTCACTAACTCATAGAGTTCCGGCAGCGTCTTAGAAACTGGAAACTGCTGCTGTTGGAATGATCTGGACTTATCCTCAAGGAAGAGTGGATGAAACCATTCAAAAAGGGAATAGTACAGTCCAAAACGCAGGTCAGTCCTCTTCCTAATGGCCACCTCGAGTTCCTTGACGAGGTCCCTCTTCGGTCCCTCATCTACAGCGTTCCAGTTCCAGGAGTACTGGGAGCCCCACAAGGTAAAGCCTGCACGATGACATTGAGTCTTTGTAAGAACATGAATTTATTCTAGCAAATTTCTACCTATACAATGCCAAAACAAACTAGATAGTACGTGGGACATATAAAAATGTCTACAACAACAGTTTTATGGCATGTTTTTTTTCATAGCATGTATTCTACTTTTATATGAATAACAAATGAGAATTTCAACAAGGTGGGACCAAGAGGCTTTTTTAGTGACTTTCTGGGTGCCCCCTTAAGGTCTGTGGAATCTGACCTAACTCTAAGAAGAATAGAGTTAGAAGAACTCTAACTCTAGGAATATTTTTCTTCTTAGAATAGAAGCTCCTTGAGGGACAGCATCATGCCTACAGCCTTCTGTTAGCACAAGATCTAGCACAAAATCAATGACACAAACAGAGCACAGCTAAGAGGGGGGACCTACTCCACATCTACCATCCTTAACAATGATGCTACTACTTATAATGGAGATCCTGAAACGCACCCCTGCAAGATTCTTACTTGTCTCCTAAACCAAAGATTAAAGTATGTTCCCTGGTTGGGGATGACTTTAGGTAGTGTGAGTCTTAGAACACAAGCGATCCATATCTAATAGTACATCCTGAGCTTCATTGAGCTTCATCGTTCATCCTTTATCACCAGACCGGGAAAAGATATGCTTCCCCAGTAGCTCTGTACTTTGAAATATTCCCACCATTTGTAATCTCATCCTTCTCTAAAGTCATAAACTCAGATGGTGCTCTTTAAACTAACTGCAATTATCTACCAATTAAATGGTAAGAAAAACAATGTCTGCCATTAAATAAGCACTTTGAAATAACTCATATTTAAAAAAGGAATTTGCATTTAGATTGTTCTATATAAAAATAATAGAAATGCTATATAACATGAAATAATACAAAAGCCTCAAAAATTTTAGTGCCTAGGAATGTTGCTAGGAATGCATTGTTACTATCCCACTGAAATCTAAAGAATCTTTGAGAATAGACATATATAAGGCACTCTGTTATTTACTCTCATGAATTAGGATGAGTCTAAGATGGACACAGTCTTCGGACTCCTTTTCAGGAAGAGTTTAAAACATCTCGCTCTTGTTCCAAAGGAGTTTGCGGTAAGCTTCAAAGCAATGTCTTGATATTTAAAGTCCTATGCAAAATGTTTCAAGTTGGCAGTATCTGGCTGGCTCAGTCAGTAGATCGCACAACTTTTGATCTCGAGATTGTGGGTTTGAGCCCTGTGTTGGGTTGCAGAGATTACTTAAAAATAAGAAAAAATATTTTTTTAAAAAAATGTTTTGAGTTGACAGGCTCTGTTGCCAGATCGTACCAAAACCACATGGGTCTTCATCACTACCATAAAAGCTCACGGAGAGATCTTCCTGCCTACCAAGCTCAGTGGGTTTTTTTCCATAAAGCCATGAAAATATGAGTCCTAGAAAGTTTACAGATGTGGGCTTCATTATCTTTCCTCATGGTATGATTAAAAGTTATTTTGTTTTGCTTTTAAATAAGCTCACTATGGAATACTTTGTACCACACAGCTTAAAGAGTTCGTAGACATCAGGAAACCAACATGTTCAGGCAAATACATTTTCTAAATATCTACCTCAGTAGGAGAAACATCTACAGGAGAAAGTCATTAAGCCACTAGAATGTAGCCAAAGGGAAAAGTATTCTAAGATAATTATAGATTTTTGGTTTTGGTTCTTTCCTCCTATTCCCCTTCCTACCTCTGCAGAAAGCACTGAGGCAAAATTTCTTATACCAGGCAAAGATGGTCACGCAAAGGAGACTGTCAAATGAATTAAAATGTGGTTGGGATAGTAACAATTTGTTGACATTCCCTTGATCTTCTGGATACTAGAGCAGTAATGGGTAGAAACTATCCTATTAATGTAGGACCCCTGTGATGGATAATTTTATGTGTCAACTTGACTGGGCCACAGGCCACAGGCCACAGGCTCAGGTATTTGATTAAATATTTTCTGGGTGTATCCATAGGGGTGTTTCTGCATGAGATTAAGGTTTAAATAGGTAGACTGAGTAGAGCAGATAGCTCTTCCCAGTGTGGGTGTGCCTCAACCAATCTGTTAAAGACCTGAACAGAATAAAAGGCTGAATAAGAACTCTCTCTGCCTGTCTGAGCTCACACTTTCTGCCTTTGGACTCAGACTTGGACTAGAATCTAAATCATCATCCACACTACTGGTTCTCAGGCCACTGGCCTCAGACTGGAATTGTACTGCCAGCTTTCCTGGTCTGGACTTCTCAGCTCCATAACTGCATGGCCCAATGTTTTATAATAATAAATCTCTTTATATGAACATACTTCCACTTGGTTCTGCTTCTCTGAAGAAGCTTCACTGATACAACCACTGTATTTCCTTGTAGATATTCTTCCGCCACCTCTGACTTTTATGGGCACCATTGCAGTCCCATCATCTTTGTCCCTCTGGATGATCTGTGTCGCTTTCATCACTGGCAAACCATCCACCATTTGGCCACCTAAGAGTTGGCCAAAAGTGCAGCAAGGTAATGACACAAAACTACAGCAGTATAATCCCCATGGTGAGGGAGCCTTCCCAGAATGCATTAGAGAGGGGCAATAAAAGCAGAGAGGGCAGGGCACCTGGTGTCTCAGTCAGTTAAGCATCAGCCCTTGGTTTCAGCTCAGGTCATGATCTCAGGGCTAGGCACAGAGTCTGCTTCAGAGTCTCTGTCTCTGCCCTTCCCCCCACTTGAGCTTGCTTTCTCTCTCTCTCTCCAATAGGTGAATAAATAAAATCAAGAAAGAAAGAAAGGCAATTCTAATTATAAACTTGGAGCTCCAACCCACATCTCACTTCAAATAGCTTTAAATGAAATCTTGGAAATACTCTTAAATAGGCACATAACAAAATGTGATTATTTTTCTTTTTTGTTTGTTTGGGGGGTTTTTTGTTTGTTTTTATGTGGTGGTGGGGGGGGGTGTCTGATCGTTCTACACACCTAATACCTCTCAATTGGATGCAATACGTGGTCCCTTAAATTACAGGCAAAAGTCAGTAACCACTAACTGCTGCTCCTAAGAGAAAACTAATTTCATGTGCTTTAGTTTCTTCTTCCGAAAGAACTACTTTACATTTCATAACTACTGTCAGTGTTTGCAAATGTTGCATTTATTTACCTTCATGATGTTTGGAAGTTAAGACAATGTATTTGGCACCAGAAGCCTGAAAAATATCTGCCCAGTGGCTTGCATTAAAAAACTTTGCTGTAAATAGTGGTCCAAAATCTTCATATTTGAAATTAGGAGGGTAATTATTTTTCATAAATTCCACGTACATCGGTATCTTTTTCTCTTGCCAATACCACCTAAAGGAAGGAAGAGAAACAACACATAAATGATGTACACATAAACATCTGAAATAATTGCCCCAGCTCCCCTTACTAATTCCCCCTTACTCAAATATTACCCAGATTCTCTTTCTCACTTCCCCAATAGTTTGACTTTGCCTTAAAGAAAGCTTACTGTAAACTTTCCTTGCTTTCCACCTAACCCTCTGAACATTCTAGACAACCCAGCCACCTGTTTGCTCTTAATTCTTCATTTTCAAATCACAAAATGTAGTATGTATCTTTACATAGTCTTTTGCAACATAAGTGACAGTCTTCAAAAGGGAGATCACATGCCCGAAACAGCATGCATCTTTTATATTCACTAGCAAAGAACAAGCAGGGGAGTTGGCAACAGTAATATTAAAATGATACTGTTATTTTAACATACTGACTCAGCCTTTAAGGATTACTTGCTATGCATTCATTCTGAGCAATTCTTGCTGCCTTTGGTTGTGTGAAGCAATGCCTGGCTGGCTGCTATCATGTCACCATGAAAGGAAAAGTCAACAGGCTGAGGATGACAGAAATAGGTAAGTTCTTTGATTTCATCAATGAGACAACTACCTCTACATTTCTTGTGTTGAGTAACAAACCCTTATTATTATATCATTTACTTAGCTTTTCTGTACCTTGAAGTGAAAGTATCCTAACTGATCCATGATGCATTTCTGCCTTTTAAACTGAACTACAGGTACACCTGTGTGGCTCAGTCAAAGGATTTCTGCCTTCGGCACAGGTCATGACCCCAGGGTCCACAGATTGAGTCCTGCATCAGGCTTCCAGCTCAGCCAGGGAGTCTACTTCTCCCTCTGCCTGCCACTCCCCCTGCTTGTGCACAGGCTCTCTCGCGCTCTCTCTGGCAAATAAATAAAATAAAATATTTAAAAATAAACAAAAAAAAAAAAAAAAAAACCACTGAACTACAAAAGACAAACTGGGACAGTCAGAAGGTTGAACAAGGATGAGGGATTTCTTTTTCCCCAGTACAGTTTAATTTGAACCTTCATTCTCTACTATAGTTTAGAGTTACTTTTCAAATTCCATACTAATAGAGATGAAAAGAGGCACTTACTATAAAGAATCCATCGTTTATATCTGGGTTTGAATTGCTATTAAGGAGAGTCAGATATTACTCATCTCTACTGTTGACTGTTTGCCTGTCCTGAGTGAAACTGGCATGGGACCAGAGGTTTAGAGGAGACAGAGGGAGACCACAAATAATTAAAGAATCTTCTACAGGGCTGGGATGCCTGGGTGACTCAGTCCATTGTGTGTCTAGCTCTTGATTTTGGCTTGGGTCATGATCTCAGCCCAGTGTAGGGCTCCATACTCAGTGCAGAGTCCCCTTCCCTCTGCTCCTCGCCCAACTTGCACTCTCTCTCTCAAAAAAATACATAAATAAAATCTTTTTAGAAAAATCTTCTACAGGGTTAATGCACTTATTATTAGAAATATATTCTAGTTAGTTTCACATGAGCAGTATCTTTATTCTTCTAGGTTAAAACAAACAACCCTGTGTTTATTTGTAGAAAACGAAAAATTAACCATTGCAAAGAATAATAGGACTCAAAACTAGGTATTTTTGGCACAGCACTAGTCTCAATTAACATCAAATCCTCTTCTAGCACCAAATGTATATTTATCTAATATTCCTAGTTGAACAAAATGATAACATATAATTTATTACATCTTAACATGAGGATAAGAAAATCTGTTTATGTACCTGCTAATCTGAAACATTTTAAAAATAAACTCAAAATGCCTTACAGCACAAAACTTGCAAACAAAGATTTATAACATCCTGAAGTAACTATGTCTAGTAATAGACAGTATGGGAAAAAAAAGTCCCTTGTTTTACAAGTTGATTTCAAAAAGAATGTATGGATTGTGCCCCATACCCTACACATTCTTTTACATCAGTTGGACTAATTTAATTAAAAAAGGTCATTGCTTGCAGAAAGTCAATGTCTTTGTAGAAAGTGGTATAATGTAATAATGTAATGTTAATATAATATAGTTTATACTCTATTATATCTATTCTATATTGTATATAGTTTGATGCATATTATTGTATAGTATAAAATAGAGTTAAATACTCCTTTATTTTCTTATTTTAAACAGGAATACATTATATATGTATGCACATTATATATGCATACATTTGGTAACTTTTCTGTCTTGAAGAACTTAATATCTCGTGTATTTAATCAGGAAAGGTAGATAATACAGTTCAAAGTTGTAAGAGATTACATGGGCATGTTGGCATAGATTTCCGTAAAGTTTAAAGAGCAATTTTTTGTGCAGCTTTCCGTATAACATTAGGGAGTCTTTTTAGGATAACATTCTAGAAGCTTTTGTTGTTGTTGTTTTGTTTGTTTATTGTATTTTGTCGTTGTTGCTCCCTATGCAGCGCAGAGCTCAACAGGGGCTTGAACTCAGCACCCAAGATCAAGACCCCAGCTGAGATCAAGAGCCAGGCTTAACCAACTGGGCCACCCAGGCTCCCCTCTACAAACTTTTTAATTCCCAGAGCCACACATGGTAACATTTTAACACTAAAGAGCCAGTGCATGCCCAAATGAACAGAAGCGTCACAGGCTCATAACTTATGTCTTAACCATACTTTATGGCTGAACAGAGATGGACACCAGCTTAGGCCCAAGCCTCTCGGTTCCTGGTCCGACCCCCCACACAACTGGAGTCACTTCTGCGGTCTGTCCCTGGGCGGTTCCAGGGCGGGAGCTCCGGCGTGACACGTGCAACCAGCAGGACGCTGAGAAGCAAGCCCGGGCTGCCCGAAGCGCCCGACGACGCTGCAGCCCCGCGGAGGAGAAACGCACTGTCCTTCCCCGCACTTACGCAGGGACTTAGGCACCAAACACCCGGAAGTGCCGACCGCCTCCCAGACCGCGGGAGGCAAAGCCCTGGGGGCGCCACAAACCAGCCCCAAGCGGGGCTGGGCGGGGGCGCAGGCCGGGGGAGGGGGGTGCGCTCACCAGAACCATTCGCTCCCGAAACTGGGCACGGAGAACACCCCCCAGTGGATGAAGATGCCGAACTTGGCCCGGTCGAACCAGACCGGCAGCGGGCGGGCGTCCAGGGACTCCCAGGTGGGGTCGAAGCGCGGCGCGCGAAGGGCGGCGCCGGGCGCGAGCGACGGCGACAGCAGCAGCAGCAGCAGCAGCAGCAGCAGCAGCGGGAGCGCCCGCCGGAGCTCCGGGAGCTCCTGGGGCCGCATGTCGGCGCCGCCTCCCAGCGCGCGCCCTTCCGCGTCTCCCGCTAAGTAGGCTCCGCGCTGTCACCTGACCGCGCCGTCTGGACGAAGGAACCTTCCTGCTGGCGCGGGAGCGGCTGCTGTCCCAGGCCGAGGACCCCAGGGGCGCTGCAGCGTTGGAGGGCAGCGTCAGCGAGGCCCGAGGCTGCTGACTTAGCTAAAGCTCCCGGTCTGACCGCCTCGTGGGGAAGAAAGAGTCAAGTTCAGGGCCCCGAGGGAGTGCGTATTTGCTGGAGCAGAACGACCCTTAGAAACTGCCGGGGAGCGCGACGTGGCCGACCGGTCCGGTTGGAACCTGGGACCCGCAGGCCAAGGCAGGAACCTCGAGCGGGTCATCCAGTCCTTGCAGGTCCCACGCACGCAAACAGCCCAGGTCATTCTCGGCCTCTGTATCCACCCCCGCCGCCGCTCGCCCACCAAGCTTCTGGGTGTGTGAGAACCGTGGCGGTCAACAGGGAGTCTGGGTCAGGTGAAATCCCGGCAGTTCCCAGCTCAGGTTGGGGGCCCCAATGTGCATTTCTAACGGAGTCCTGGATGGTGCTGATGTTGCTGGGGTCGGTCACCAAACTTTGAGAATCACTGCATTAGAAAAAGTGGTGAACTAAGGTGAGACCAGTGGCGTGATTGTTTAAGAAATCTGCAGGCAGGGGGGAAGCAGCCAGAAACATGGAAGGATTCATCAAGGGACACCATCAGAAGCTCCGCTCTCCCCTTCCTAAAGGCTTTTAGAGTAAAACCAGAATCCCTTCTGCTCACATCACCTCCTCCCAACTTCCTGTCACTATCTTCCCTGCCAGATGTTTTACTACCCACTAATTGTTCCAATTAACATCTTGTTCCAACCACGAATATAGGATCCCACTGATCGTTTTGTAGTTAGGAGGACAACGAGCTTGTTTCCCATTAGGCCGTGAGCTTGCTGAGGACTGGGATGGCAACCATTTCTGTAGACCCTGAATTTAAAGCAGAATCCGGTACTGAGGAGCACTGAAAGCATATTTGTTGAAGTCCTTCAATGAACTGGGGTTCTCATGATTGAGCTGTATGAAGGAACGAAGAAAGAAAGGACCCTAACTGTCCCATCTCTGCAAGGACATGGGAGCAGCAGCCCAGGGAAAATGGCAGTTACCTCTTGATGCACTGTGAATG